ATTAGAGTTCAACCAAATTTTTTTTTTGAAAGATATAATTAATTTCATTGAGATTAGAAACAAACCCTTTCCATTTCACCCTTGGAGACGAAGGATTGAGCAACATTTTCCAAACTGTCATTCAAAACCTCGATGATGGCAGACGTAATTGCTTCAGCTTGCTTTGAAGGCACACCTTCGCCCTCTAATCTCCTCACCTAATAATTCATCTCAAACAATCACACATTCACGTCTACCGAAATTTCAATTTAGAACGGATAAAGAAGCAAGCTTTTTCATCTAATTAATAGCAGTTTTGAATTAATTGAAGGTGTCGAGACTCGAGACGAGAAAGTGGCTTACTAGGGCTAGGGTATCGACGAGAAACAGGCGCTTTCCATTAGATTGAGGTTGTTGAGAAACTTGTCTGCAATCAAATCTGCTAAAAGTCGGATAGAAATGAGATGAAGATGAAAGTGTATTTGTGGAGATGAAACCGCCTTGCAACAGCGATGTGTTGGTTGCCTGAACCGATCTCGATTTGATTCCGGCACGAAGGAAAGCCGCATAAGCGGCCATTAGTATCGAATTTGGGAACTAAATTTGTAACTTTCTCTCTGATAATTTGTTGAAGATCGTGGTCGTGGATCAACTAGAACTGGAAATCAATCTGAAAAAAGTGATTGAAAAGTTAAAATGAAAAAAAACTGGAAATAAATCCATTTCCGTACACGTTTCTGGCGCTGAGAACTAAGAAATCGGCGTTGGACGGGAGAGGCGACGAAAAAAAAGTAATCGCCCACCGTGGGGCTCGAACCCACGACCACAAGGTTAAGAGCCTTGCGCTCTACCAACTGAGCTAGACGGGCTTGATGAAATATTGTTTGGTGTTGTATTAATATACACGATGTTTATATATATGGACGAGTGTATTATTTATTTAAGGTTATAATAATCATATTGCAAAATATAGTTTAAAATTGTTTATTGTTTAGAAAATATATATTAATTATTTAACTATAGTCTACCGGTAGCAAGTATTAATGAAAATGCCACTCAAACATTGATAAGGGTTAAAGTCTCCTTAAATATGATATATGTAGTTTATGAGTAAAATAGTAAGGATGTATATTTTTTGATCTAAAAAAAACTATTTTTAGTTTTAATACGTTGAACATAACGACTTGGTTAAAATTTTGAGTGGGCCAGCAAAGCACTCTAATTGACAACCCCACGGTCACTTTGTTGAATTTACTTCAAAGTTGACTGTTTCAACACCTGTAATGAATTGATGACAACTTATATGACCGGTTTGGAAGATACATTTGAGCACACCGACCCTTGTTTTTTGGCTTTTTTAATGAACATGTTTCGCAAGGAAAATCTTGCAGGTTAGTTGTGATTTTTCTATAAAATCATATACATATTTACATGTGGGGTAGCTTTTGCGATTTGGGGAATAGCGCAGCAGTGGTGTGATATTCAATTTTTCATTATGTTGAATATTCATGAATGACTTTCTTAGATAGATGATGTTCGGATGACATGTGAGAACATGAAACGACTTGAGGTGGTGATGCTTACTACGTGATGTTCTGGAGGTTTACAAATAATGTTGTGTTCGATTCTTATTTCTTCACAATTCGGAAGGACAATTTTTTATAACATTTTTTAATTTTGTTTTCATGCTTTAAGCATAGATTTAAAAAAAATGTAATTTGGACTAATTGGTTGAAATCACATTTGTAATTTTCTTCTAACTCTCAATTAGAAGTGTAAATATTTAGAATTTTATTGTTGTTAAAAGAATAGCATGATAATGTCAGGTTAGAATTCTAAAGTTCGTTATTTAAGTGGTATTTAAGTGTAATAATGAACATAGATATGCCTCATTCCTTTTGGACAAAATTCTTTATGAGGCGCTAAACACATATGTTGTGAGCTAGATAGATTTTTTTTTGGAAACGACCATAAATTATATTAGAACCCCAGCCGAGCAAGAAGCTAAGCAGTGGCAAAAAAGGAAACAAACAAACGTAGAGAGAGTTAATTACAACACAGAAAAAGGAAAGGAACTCCACTCATCCCAATTATATCTAACTCCAGAATCTCTATGCTTCATCCAAAGAAACGTCATTGACTTGATGTATTCCACTCCACCGTTTAGTGTTGTGAAATTGCCTTGGAATATCCTGTCATTCCTGAATTTCCAAATCCCCCAGAGTAGACCGTAACATATAACAATGAATCTTCTTCTTTTCTTCGGACACCTTCTCCAATTGGCAGCAAATTGAACTAAGTCGGTAACTCCTGTAATTAAGGGGGTAAGGTTATATCACACCATTTAAAGATCTTCTCTCGCAAATAGGCTGCAAATGGACATGTGACTAGTAGATGATCAGCTTGTTCATCATCACTAATACAGAAACCACACGATGAGGAAGACAAGGTTATACCACGACACATTAACGTCGTGGTTGTGGGGATTCGACCCATGGTTGCCCTCCAAATAAACGTTAGAACCTTGATTTGGACTTGTTTGCACCAAATGACCAAGGTGTTCGAACCCGGATGTGTATGTTGGTCCAATTTGTGACGAAGCAGTTCCACAATGTACTTACGATCCACTGCTAAATTACAAATCCAATGATCCTCCCCAGGTCTTACTGGGCTGGATATGATGTCACTGTATAGCAAGCTAAGGTCATGTGCTAACCCCAATGAAAGAGGACACGAGCTCCATTGCCAACCATTTGTGTTGTATGTAATCTTTTGGGCCACGGTACAATTCTTGTTGGGTTCAATTGCATATAAATCTGGAAATTTGGATCTGAAAGTTACAGGCCCGCTCCAAGTGTCGTTCCAAAATGATGTTTTTTCACCTGATCTCATTACATGTTTGAAATTTTCATTGGGTTGAATGTTGTACTTTTGGAGCTCAGTTTTTACATTAGCAATGTTATTCCATACACCTGTAATGGTTTTATTTGATAGGTAAAAACTAGGCTTGCCTTCCAGGTTGTGTATAGCAGTCACAACACGACTCCACAGGGCCGATGGGTTCTTTTTAAAATTCCACCACCATTTAACAATTAAGCCAATGTTAAGAGTTCTAATCGAACCAACGCCAAGTCCTCCGTCTTCTTTAGAGGAGGCAATCACCTTGTCCCAAGAAACCCAATGAATTTGCCTGTTTTCCTCATTACCACCCCCTTAGAAATTTCCTTCGTAATTTCTCGAGCTTCTCAACAACACCAATAGGAGCAGTAAAGATGGACAGATAGTATGTAGGCAAGCTACCTAGCACAGATTTTATGAGGGTTAAACGACCGCCAAAAGACAATGATTTAGCTTTCCATGTTGATAGCTTGGCTTGGAATTTTGTTATCATTGGGTCCCAGTTCTTTATTCGATTCATGTTGGCGCCCACCGGCACCCCTAGATATGTAAAAGGAAGACTTCCAGCATCGCATCCAAGAATGTTTGCCCAGCTTGTCGTTTCCTGCAATGTAGCACCAATTCCGAATACCTTGGACTTATGGAAATTGACCCTTAAACCGGAAGAGACGTGGAAGCAATTAAGAATGCGAGCGAGATTTTTGAGGTTTGATCTTGTCCATTCTCCAAGGAATAGTGTGTCGTCTGCATATAAGAGACGAGAGAGTGATGGTCCACCGTTAGGAACACTGACGCCTTTGAATATACCTTTTTCTTCCGCGGATTTGAGTGCAACATTTAAACCCTTCATTGCTATAATGAAGAGGAAAGGAGATAGCGGGTCTCCTTGTTGGACCCCTCTCGTGATGTTAAATTCTTTGGTAGGGACTCCATTAACGATTATAGATGCACGACGAAGAAAACCTATTACTGTAACACTCGGATCTTGCTCGTGTTTGTGTGAAACATTAAAGGAATACGGCTTTGGCTTTTTTTTTTGTGGCATCCAACCCTAAATATGAAGTGTCCATTGATGTAAATAATTCGATTACAACTCCATATGGTTGATTAATTCCCTTATGCGGTTCACTGGACTATCCCTTGAATTAGTCTTACAGTATTTATGTGGTGTTATTGCGTCGCTTAAGTTTCAGTTGTATTTTTTTTCTAATTATTCACACACAATAGTTTGTTTTTCATTATGAGTTAACATGTCATACATACGTTTTTTTTTCTTTAGTTGATATTCATCAATGTAAGCAATTTTTTTTCTCTCTCTCATTCTTCCATTTATCTTATACCTTTTTTTGGATTGACAATTTAGAAGCATTTTTTTACTAAAAATAGATTCCAGTTGTTACGACAATATATGACTAATATATCATATTTTAACGGCTTCTTTAATCTTTAGACAATACGAAGCGATAAAGATGGTTATTACTTCCGTAGTTATTTGTTTATACTTATATGAATACTTTTTGTACTAACCCTTAAAAACCCAACAAGACATGCACCAAGCATGACAAATTTTATCAAAATATTAACTGGATTTTGTACTAAACTATATAATTATGTCTTTTTTTACTAAACAGAAAAGAAAAAGAAGAAACAAATTTCAAATTTTTTTTTCCTAATTTTTTTCGTCCTATCACTCGATGCAAATGAGAATAAAAGTTTGTTATTCTCATAATCTCACTCAAAATATTCGAATCTCAAGTGGTTTGTACTTTGTAGTGGATCCCAACCCTCTCTAATCCATTCAACACGTTCAATTTCCTGTCTATCGATACATAATCACTTTGCACTAGAATTCCTTTTGTTTTCCTTTTTTATCTTATAATCTCAAGTGGTTTGTAGTGGATTACCTACATCATTACCTTTTTTTTCACATTCTTATGGAACTTAGTATTGTTGTTTGAAATCAAGACAACATGATTAGACAATTCCAATACAAATATCAAAAACATTAGTTAAGCTATTTGATCCAATCGGAAATACGAGTAACATACTAACGAGTATATTCTAAGAGGAAAATTTGTATTAGAATGACGACTGATGTATTCTCAGTCAATTAAATCATATGACCTACTACAACTACATATCGTAGCAGACACATCCTTTATACATTTATATTATATTTAATATATATGGGTTATACATAATTAATGATCAACAATATAAATAAAATGCCTCCAAAACCACCTCACGGGTGCCAATAGTTGCACGAAGCTCCCTTATTACACCGCCCGCTTTCATAAAACTTACAAACCCGCTTCCCTTTTGGCGGCGGTCTCTGATAACCACCACCACTGCCGCCACCAAACGACCCCTGCCGCCCCCAAGCCGGCTTCCCATTCCTATTATACCCCATATCCTCAACCTTATAACTTCTTTCCCTCGGACTATACATTCGTTGGTGTGGGTCCCACCCCACGTTCATATACGGGTTGACCCGGGTCGCCATTTCTTGACCCGGTCTTGGTTGTGGCGGTGGTGGTGATGGTTGTGGTGGTGGTGGCGGTGGTGATGGTGATGGTTTCCGGCTCTCGTTAGCTTCAACTTTCGTGGAATTATTTAAATCTATTGTGTTTTTGGATACGGTTTGTTCCGGTATGTCGGGCCATTTGAAAGGCAGAGGTTGTAAACTGGCGGTGGCGGCGGCGGTGGTGGTGGTGGTGGAGGACTGGAAAGGTAGCTGTGTATCTGTTCTAGGGGTGGGACTGAAATCTTCAAAGGATCCATTGAACAAATCCTCAACAAAATTGTTCCTTCTTGAAGTAGGTGAAGGGAAACCATTTTGTGATTCCATTGCATCAACTTCCGCTAACAAATCGGAAACTGATTCCTCCGCCAATGTACTAAACTCAATCGTCTCACGGACACCTTGCCATGGCGTCAATGGCAAAGGCAAACCACCATGATCACCGCCGGCGCCCACTTCCGCCACCGATCCACCGCCGGAAGTAGGAGAATACCCGCTCCATTCGCTGCCCGTTTTCGGAACTTCCGCTCCACCACCATTACTCCAATTAGCGGGATTCCGGTTCCCAGCATCTTGAACCGGGATTCCGATTCCGATTCTGATTCCGATTCCGGCCACTTTTTCGTCTTCGTTTCTCGTCTTCGGAGTCGGACTCGGTAAATCCACCAGGCCGACATTTGAACTATCGTAAACCGTAGAAACATGTTTGACAACGGAATTGTTTTCCTTTTCCACCGGTGTAGGACTAGCGAGAACGGGTCCTGATGACTTTACGGCGGCTGATGGAATCTGAATACGAACCGTGAGACTCTCAATTCCAATTCCGACTTTATCCGTGGAATTGTTTTCGATTGGTGTAGGGCTAGCGAGATCGGGTTGTATTGACTTCGGAATCTGAACGGTGGATGATGGAATTGGAATACGGACCGTGAGACCCTCGATTCCGATTCCGACTTTCTCCGTCGGAATTTGCGATTCCTCTTTTAATAACACTTCATTCAAGAGTAAAGACTCTTCCTCGTTTTTCATCCATATCCTCATATCAACCGGAAAGTAACCAGTCGTACTCCATTTCTGTAATTGTATTTTACAAAATGGTCCTTGAATTTTTCCACTTGGGTCACGATAATGCCATACTTTCTCCATATCACCATCAATGGAAGTTGGTGTGTTGAGTGATGATGACGTGGCGTGGGTCCGGTTGGTGATGGTTGAACCGTTGGACGTGACCTTGGTTTGTGGTCTAACCGAACCACTTGACCCATGGGTCGAACCCTGTTCGGGTTTAATGGTTAGGTGCCTTAGTGGCTTGTTTTTCAATGGGCTACTACTGACATTATTTATAAACTCAGGTTGTTTTTTAGGAGAGTTTGTGTTCTTGTGATTAATTGTGGAATGCTTCGGCTTCAGCTGTTGTACTGTAGAGATACACACCAATAGTTAGGAACGAAGTAAAATGCTAAATGGAAGAAATAGCAATGTACTTTTAGCAATGAAAAGATATTTGGAATGTATTAATAAGAAAAAATGAAAGTAGGTTGCTATTTCTTGCATTTAAGCCATTTGGAAAAGGACAAAACCAACCATGTTCGTTGTTGATATGTTCCTCAGTGTCATCAGTTTCATAATCAGGATTCATTTTTGGATCAGAATGAACCTCAGGAATTTCCCTTAATCTGCGTTCACGTTCTTCGGGTGTTTTTAGAAGTTGAAGTTTCTCCACATATTCTCTTAGAGTGAAATTTGTCAAGGAATATTCAAAATTTAAAATTATCAGGAAATTAATTCCATGAAAGAAATAAATACATAACAATTAAACAATATCTTTTATTAAAGGATATTCCTTTTTATGCCCTTTCTCACTTGCTCGATCACGAAGATTATTGAGCCGCAATGCCTCTGCTTCCATCAACTTGATTACAGAAAGAAGGGTAAAATGGTCAAGGTGTTGTCTTATGAAAAACCCTACCCAAATTATAGCATTGTACTTTCAGTTTTTTTTTGGCATTGTACTTTGAATAATCTACCCGATTACAACAATAAAAGTTGTTGTGTATTTTAATGACATTGTTATAATTTGGTAGATTTTTCAAAGTACAATGATGAAATAGGAAGAAAGTGTGATGCTATAAGAAACAAATGAAGGAAAGCACATTGCTATTTAATGCATTTAAAGCCAAAACTACTCACATCATTGAGCCTTGCAGATTGGAGGGACACTGCCTTGTCCTGTATGTCACCCTAAAGCAAGAACAAAATTAGCATTTAAAAAAAAAAGCAAAGAAACCAAGTAGTAAAAAAAACACACAACTTTGGATCAAGATCGAGGGTAAAAATGGAAATGCAGACTTACTACAGTAAACCGCTTCACAAGCCCACATCTTACACTTTGCCGCAAACGTCTGCATTCATCCTAAAAAAAAAAAAAAAAAAGAAGCCCATAAGACAGGACAAGACATAACAGGTTGTACTGCATTTGTTGTGCATTGTACTAAGACTGATGTCAATGAGACAAAAATTGCAGCTTTTTGTCCCACCTGAAAAGGTAGGAAGGACAAACTTGCTTTGATCTCTCTATTGTGCAAAAGACGTGAATACCCTCGTCATTCTCATCACAAAAAAAGCAGTGTAACCTAAATATTATTCATGTGGTATGTTTGCTAGTTAATATAAGAAAATAAAAACATTGGTTACCTCAGACAGATCTTGATTTGAAATTGTATCAATTGATACAGTCTCCTTCTTGTCTAAATTTAATACTTCAAGCAAAATATCTACAGATTTATTGCCAATCTTATATGGTGCATCTGCCTTACTTGTACCTGCAAACATCAATCATAACTTTTAGGTGCTACATCTAGCATAAGCCTAAGCCTGTGCTTGTTACACCAGACTAGACAAGTTTTCTAAGGTTACTTTCGATGATGAAAATGACAGGGGCATTTACGTCTTTTGCACAAACAATTAATCAAATGTCAGTCTACGTCCCACCTTTTCAGGTAGAACAAAAAAACTTGAACAATATAGTACCAATACTGTGCCATGCCAGCACAGTGTCAGTAGTATAGTGTAACTGGTACAGTACTAATGCTATTGTACCAAATACTAGTACTAATGCTATTGTACCAAATACTAGTACTCTGGTAAGTATTATTGTACCGGTATTATTGTATTTACAATAATACCGGTACTATCTATCTATCTGGTATAACAGCACTAGTGTTATTGTACCAAGTACTAGTATTGTGGTAACTACTACTGTACTGGTACTATTTACAATAGCACTAGTGCTATTGTAAATACTATCTATCTATTTGTCTATTTGGTACAATAGCACTAGTACTATTGTAAATACTATCTATCTATCTGGTACAATAGCACTAGTGCTATTGTACCAAGTACAAGTACTGTGGTAAGTACTATTGTACCAAGTACAAGTACTGTGGTAGGTACTATTGTACTGGTACTATTTACAATAGTACCCGTATTATCTATCTACTATCTATCTGGTACAATACCTACAACTTGGACAAGTCTGTACATATCATACTTCTGATCACTACCAGATATTCTTATTCTCACAATTGATCCAACAACTTTTACACGAAACTCTTCACTATTGTCAATAAGATTCTCCATCAATTTACGGCGAAGGTATATTAAGTTCATATTATGGACATCAATGGCAGCATATTCATCCAAATTATTTTGTGGGACCCGGTCTTCGCTCTTCTTGTGATTTCTCCTTTTCTTATCTTTACCCAATGTCACCATATTTTCAAGATTCCAATCAGGGTCAACTTGTCTTCCAATATTCTTGATTGTGTTCTTTGGGAGATCTTCATTTATGAAAAAATGAAACTCCAAAAGCTTTAACATTTCAAAATGACCAACACGCGGTTTCCCGAAAAGAATCTTTAGCCTTGAATCGCATATTATTTGACTTTTCTTTCGTGGGTCCCGCAGATTATTTCTTTTTATGTACTCTAACATAAGTTCTTGAACATCAAACTGAGATAACAATGATGTATCACCATTCTTCATATGTGCAACAAAATCTAATAGCTCTTTAGTTGCCCATTCCTTGCTTTCGTTAGCACCCGGTTTTTTCGTAATTACAGTTTCCTTTTGGATGTGTTCATCTGTCTTTTGTCTTTTAGATTCACTTGTCTCAAGGTTTTGAGGGGAAATCTCTGGTTTAATGCTTTTAAGATCATTGTCCCCATTGTGTACACATGTTGATGGGATAACTAAAGGGGTTGTTGTATTAGCTCGTTTCCATGGATTTGTAGCTTGAGTAAGCTCATCAAGAGTCAAAGATAATTTCCCTTTTAAATAGATCCAATACACCTTGAAAAGATACTCCCAACTAGTTTTGTCATCAAAATCCACCTGAGCCTGAAAAAAAAAATGGTAATTCTTGAATTTAACCCATTTTAGCAGTATTATGGAGATATGATGCTGCATACCTTCTCATCCTTTTCTTGTCCATTGTTTTCAATCAGCATGATTGTTTTCATGCAAACTGTGCAAAAGCCTTTATCACCTCTGACACATACATAATCAGCTTTTTTAATGCATCCTTTGCACAATGAATATGTACAAGTATAGCACATATTATGGGCTGCCTTCTGGCATATACTACATATATGCCAACCTGAAATTCATTTCAACACCATTGCAACTTACTCAACTTCTGTTCACAATTATAGAGTTGAAAAGACAATATACAGATCATTGTGGGTGATTTCATTCAGTAGAACCCCATATGCTAAGTTCTAACACATCTGTTTTGAAAGAAAAACCCTTGTTTCACATGACTAAGCAATCAGATAATCAGAATTCTATGGGGTTATAGCAAGATGCATAAAAATATATATTTTATTTATAGGCACAACATCCACAAATCAAGAAATGAATTCAGAAAGGGAGAAAAGAGGTATATCAGGAAAAGAGACATACCACAATTCCATCTAGCTTTGGATTGAAAAAATGCTTCATCACGCTTGACACAAGCCGGATGGTATGCCTTCGGGCATCCTCTACAACAAAAAACAAAAAGAAGAAATCATGTTATTCACCAGTTCATCGATGTGCAGAAATATAGCTCTTACTATATCCGACACCTAGCATTAAGAACTTAATGGAAGTAACATTCGCATGAAGTTCAATTAAAATCCAAACAAATACACATCGATTGTCAAAATCCAACAATTAAGAAGAAAAAAAATTAACACAAACCGGCGATCGCAGAGCACGAGACTCCCACCATCGAAGCAGATAAAGCAAACATCTTCGTCCACTTCTTTATTCATCTTAGTAGGCGGCGATTTCGCCTGAGCCCTAGGTGGCCGGCCTCGCTTCTTCTTCACCAATTCAGCTCCCCCGCTTCCATTACCTAACTCAACCTCCACTCCCCCACCTTCATCGGCACATTCGACAGCACCAACAACATCGACCGGACCTCCAGCCATCTTCGACCCATCATCGCCTTCCGTTTCCTGAATCGGTTGACTCTGGTCAGAGCTATGACTCTCAGCTTCCGAATTTCGAACTTCCATCGAGTTAACGAATCAACCGAATTAAGCTCAAAACTTATAAGTCAGTTCATGATGACCAATTATGGAAACAAATTAACAAACCCTAGGTTTCCCAATTTGAGTAGCTGTTGAATCGTACAACCTACAGGGTATCATTTCACAGAGACAGAAATGCAGGAGAGAAGTGCGTGTTGTTTGACCGGTACGTCGTCGTTTCTATAGGTAGAGAAAGGGGATGATCAGGGGTAGTGTTGGGTGGAGTTTTAGCTTTAGCTTTCGGCAACACTACAGTGCTGCACGAAAGAGAGGGCGTTGAACGCGGCTCTTGTGGTTTTGTGGATTCTCTCTTATACTTGGCGACACGTGATTTAGTTTTTTTTTATGTTTCTTTTGGCAACAAATATACCCCATTCCACACAAAAATATATCTTTTGAAAAAGGGTTGATACTTGATACATAAAATACCTAAAATATATCTTTTGAAAAAGGGTTGATACTTGATACAAAAAATACCTTCTTTATGAGTTTTTTGTTTTCTTTACTAACTTCAACTTATTTTTAGGAAAGTTGAGTTATCAGGGTAATTACATCATTGTTTTGTTTATATTTTGTTAACTCTTTTTTTACACGTTTAAGTAACGAATTTGTTGGAAGTGTTTACATATGACTATTATGACCGGTTGTAATTTGTTACAACCGGTCATAATGGTTATATATGAACAATCCTAACAAGTTTGTTACTTAGATATGTATAAAAAAATACCTAAATATAAACAAAACGAAAAAGTAATTACCTTGATAAGTCAATTTCTCTTATTTTTATTTTACCTTCTAATTTTTATTTGATATAAAATTTAACCTAAATTGTAAATATTTTTAAAACCACACCATTTTGGTAAATATTTTTTTAAAATACACTTTGGTAAAAAAATAAATAAATAAACCCTTCAAATTTGACAGAGAAAAAAACACATCGTCATTTTATAAATTTTTATTGTTTAAGATATTAAATATAAAAATTAAAATTTACTACGTACACGTCCAAAAATTGAGAATACATGTTGGCATAACTCGACAATAAATATGTCAATCATCATCTACGTCTAAAGTGTTTCCGCTGACACAATTGTCGGTGTGAACAGTTGGTGTCACGTAGATGGTGATTGTCATATTTATTGTCGAGTTAATATGTCAGCCTATATTCTTAATTTTTGCACGTGTACATTGTAAATTTTAATTTTTATGTTTAATATCTTAAACAATAAAATTCAATAAAATGACGATGTGTTTTTTCTCCGTCAAAATTTGAGTTTTTTTTACCAAATTAGTGTATTTAAAAAAATATATTTACCAAAATGATGTGGTTTTAGAAATATTTACCATTTATGTTAAATTTTATACCAAACCAAAATTAGAAAGTAAACTAAAAACAATGGAAATTGACTTATCAGGATAATTACCTATTCGTTTTGTTCATATTTTTTTATACACGTCAAGGTTACGAAATTGTTGGAAGTGTTCACATATGATCATTACAATCGGTTGTAACTTGCTACAGTCACTCATAATAATTGTATGTAAACACTGTCAACAAGTTTGTTACCTAGATGTTTATAAAAAAAAGTTATTCAAAAGTAAACAACACAAAAAGATAATTACCATGATAAGTCAACTTCCCTTATTTTTATCCTAAAAACATCTTGTACTTTATTTATTTGGCAATCAAATTAACCGGTTATTTTCAAATTTTATACATTAAAAAAAAGAAAAAAAAACATTTTCTAAAAAAAAATGTCTAACATCTTTTGCCCAAAAAAACACTCATATTTTTTTCCTTTAAACCAAATTTTCTTTTGGTTCATAATTCTTTTTATTTGTTGATTTTAATATTAAACTCTAAATGAAACATTTGATTTTTTTCAAAACAAAAAGAAAGATGTCGTTTCTAATTATTATCGGCAAATTTATAAAAAAATCTATTTGCATAATGCTCAAAGGTTGTAGCAAGTGAAAACCATGTGTTTACTCTAGTTTGACAATATTTCTAACTAGGAAAACATGAAAGCTTATATTGTAAACATAAATTAGTGTATGGAAATTGTCTTTCTGTTTGGTTCTTAAAACAATCTACGATACCAAGTTAATTTGGATCGTTGTTTGCAAGAATCTCGAACTATAGAAGCTCAGTCTAAATGACTAGTTGTGCGGAATCTAGCTTTCTTGCCCAATTATTACTTATGGTTTGGAAACAAGTTAGAATTTAACATAATGACCAACAAACAATCGGTAAAATGTGAGTAAATTTAAGCGATGGTAGAGAATATAACAACAATAACAAACATTTATGAATTTATATCTACTTCTTAGTTCGATAGCAACTCGGATGAAAATGCCGGAGACTAATATTTTATGTGAGTTGTCATTGTCCAAAAAGTAGTTATCTATTCCAATATTTATGAACACTGATAGATGCAATTTTATGCATCTTTTAGGCTAGTTTTTATTAGCATTTAGCACCATATTTTGGACATTTGCATGTCATTTGTTTAAATAATGTTCAACTCATGTTTTTTATCAGAATTTCTGTATTGTTAGCGTTTTTGTGTCATTTTCAGATAGTTCGAGTAGAGCAGTATTTTAGGAGCAGTTGGATGCATGTTTGGAGCTTAAATGGAGCTGGAACTGAAGAATGATGCTAAGGAATAACAAGGAGTGCTTAAACTAAACAGTCGTGTCCGAAACGAGCAAGAAATCAGTATCTACGATCATAATTCTCCTTTTTGTGATCGCATAAATGCCATGAAGTTTTGTAGGACCGAAATAAGTCATCTGGAAGCCATCTGAAGAAAAAGAGCAAAATCTACGATCACAATTCCTATATCTGCGATCGCATTTCTGTCACGCATCTCCAGAAACTTTAGATTTGGCATCGTACTTCATTTAAACACGGCTCTGGAAGAAATTGTCAAATCTGCGATAGCATATGGCCTTTCTGCGATCACATTTTTTTTCCTAAAAACCTCAGAAAGTGCATAAACAACATCCTACATCATTTAAGGGCATTTCTGGAATTTATCACATTTTCTACGATCGCAATTCCTTTTCTACGATTGCATTTTTCGGTTTCTTTCTCTAGAAGCTTCCGTCTTCCATATAAATACGACCCTCATCATCAGATTAGAAGGTTAGACGATTCCAAGCGACGAAAATCACTTATAAAGGCGATTTCTGATACCTTTCAGCGACTTCTGGAGATCTGAAGCTATGCATCATCTCACACATTTAGTTTATCTAGATTTATCAGTAAATGTTCCTTTTATTTAGTTTTGTTTTGTTTTTAGCAATGTCTGGCTAAACCCTAGTTTTCAGTTCTGCATAGACTGGTACTTTTATGTGATTATTTTCAAATATGATTTTCTTTATGTGCTTCTATCTAGATTTTTCCGTTTTGAACTTAATTAACGTTTGATTTTTAATCATCGTTAGTCTGATCACCTAGCTAGGGTTTTATCATTCCGTTTAATCAGTTAATAGAATCCGTAATTGTTCTTGTCAACTGATAATAAGTAACAAGTATCATATTGGTTCCGTGTTTGGATTTAACTCTGATATAAACTGAAAAATCATATCTTTACGATTTCTAGCTTGTGAGAAGTATACACAGATCTTAATGCAACTTTTATAATCCTAATTAAGAGTTTGTTTAATTAGACAGTAAAAAGTAAGGGTTAACTGAAGAGCTTGTTTTAGTTAATTTAATTAGATAAAAGAGATTATACTAGAACTTGTTAGTTTTTCTCAGTACCAGATTAGATAGAACACATTATGAATAATCAGATTTGGGTTGATTGCATGATTACGAAAATCGCAACAGAACTGAAATCGTTTTTATTAATGTTTTTCATTTAGTTTATTTTCATTACAATTTTTAGTTTTTAGTTTAAATCAAAATCCCCCTTTTATAATTTATGTTTTGACTAGAATGTGCCTGATGCAAAAATGCATTGACCGTTAGACTGTGTCCTTAAGGATCTGACCCTGCTTCCATGTGTTATATTATTAGTGCAACCAACAGTGAAATTTATTTGCTTAATACGCTCACGACAACGTGTTAACAAAGATGTCGAAATTCTCTTTTGATTTTAGATTTTTTTTTTATCAATTTACTATTTCTTATTGACACATCTCCATTATGGAATTGATAATGATAACATTTGGGATTCATTAGAAAATCAATAGTTGTATAGAAAATTGTTGTAAGATGTACACATTTGTTTCAATTAATGATATGTAGGCATAAATTACATTAATAAATTAATTTAGTTGTAATGTGTTTTCTCTCTAATATTTGGGTTACGAGTGAGTTATTATTGCTAACAAATAACACGTGTTAAAGGAAATACAACCATTATATAGTTGTATTTTACATAAAAATACAATATTTTCATTTATAACAAGCTTACATAATACATGCACATATAATGGGATATTATGCACCAAAAAAAGTAGTAATGATTTTTTATATCTTGTTGACAATCTTTCACATACTTTCTTTCAACCGGCACCAAAAAAAGTAGTAATGATTTTTTATATCTTGTTGACAATCTTTCACATACTTTCTCTCAACCGAAAGATTGTCAAAACAAGAGATAGAAAACCAATAATTTTTTCTGTCTTTTGGATCCTATCTATCTAGAGGCTTTTGAATCCTAACTATAGAATAGCTTTTAGATGAGATGATTGTTTTGCCCAATACAATTCCAATACGAAGAATGTCGACAACAAGATCAGACATGACCTCTAACTCACGCTGTGGGTGGTAGTATGTGATCCAAAAGACACCACATCATAGACATGAATATCTCACATGTTGGTTTACTTATTTTTCTTTGATAATATCTCGATGCAACCTTATTATTTTCTACCAAAAAATATGTAACACTGTAATTTTCAAATAAATTTTTCATTTTTAAAATCACATAAACTCAATGTCACATTTCCCAAAAACCACAAAATGTATAAGTTGTCAAAACACAAGTCAACAAATGTTTGATAAAATCCCAGAATCCTCAAAATCATGATCTCTAACTGGTGTGTACAATCAAGCTGACACATTCCCGCGAATTTGAGAAGTACCTTAAACACATATCACACAACACGGTAAGCACGAAGCTTAGTGAGTTCCCCAAAATACCACATACACAAATAATAAGCCTCTCATGGCTATAGCTCGGCATGGACCCTCCGGTCATGCGTCTCGGTGAGGACCCTCCGGTCTCACGGCTCGGCGTGGACCCTCCGGTCATGTGTCTCACTGAAGACCCTCCGGTCTTACAGCT